TTCCTCGCCTGGCAGCCGGGTAGTCATCCCTTTTGACTATTCTGCGGGCGCCCGGCAAAAATTTCTAGTAATTCTGTGGGTGGCGGGCAAAAAAGCAGCGCCGTGTTCCACTTTTCTGCCGCTCCACATGGAATTATGTACATACACAGTGTGTTGGGCAGGAAAAAAATATGTGTTTTCTCCACGACAAGCACGAGAGGTGTCGAGTGGGATGCTGAAAAAATATGTTTTGCATAGCAATAGCATGTCCAGTTTTTCCTGCATACTTGAAAAGGGAATCCGTGAATTGAACTCTGTTTACAGCGTAATTGTTTAATTTGATCATTCACAAGTGAATGGCAGAGACTCTATCGGAATGAATGGCAAAAGCTCTTCTTTCTGCATTTATAAAAACTTAGAGAGATTTTTTCATACATCAGCTAAAGGGGGACATAATATAGTCATAAATGGTGTACAGCACGGCAGAAGTACTTAAGAAGTGGAAGTGTTCATAAACTTACAATTCTTGATAACGATTCTTTGGATTTCTCTTGAATTGTACGAAGAAACAATCTTTTTCTAGGTTATGTAACGAATCACGGACGGATTTAGTGCATAATTTGCATTCCAGCACATCAATTATTATGCTAAAGTCGCCAAGATTGCTAATTATCTGCAGAATTAAGCATTTTCATGCGATTTGAAGCCGAAAAACACTGCAAATTGTGCCGAAATCGAACATAACCTCGAAAAGAGTATTGTAGGATTAGCAAAATGTTTATTTAGATCACTTTTAATTCAAAAAAAGATAATTTTGCCATCTAGAAAGCTTCTAATTGAAGCTTTTTGAGACCTCTTTGTGATATTTTTGAGGTTATGGTTGGAAAAGACGCTCAGAAAAGCGGTTGAAAGTGGATTTTTATAGAAATATAGCATGAAACCTTAAGATATTTATTATATTTTGTGAATTATGAAGGAAGGAGTAAAAAAAATGTAAATTGCTGCAAATGTTTCAAAGTAGTGTACAGAATAGGAGCATATTATCTCCCCCTTGGATTTTCATTGTGCATTTATTGAAAGAATTCAAGTGTTTCTTTAGCATTTTGCAAGTGATCTTTTCCACCTTTCCTTCGTGTGGGAAGCAACGAAATTGAGAAAATTGACTCAATTAAAAGACATTTAGTGGTAATATTCCATGTTCGCAAATCTCTTTCACTCTCCGAAGTTATTCTGATTGCCAATTGCAATGTTGACGCTGAGTGTGAGGAAGAATCCGATGGAATTCACTTTGGAAAGTTTGTAAAACTCTCCTGTCGTGCCACATTCGCCCATCAGTATTCCTCGGACAGCGTCTCAAGCTTGAGGAAACTTGTTGCACCATTCCACATATGCTACACGCCGGAATGACTAAACACGGCCTCGGGGAGGAAAGGAAAAAGGACTGCCGAGGATAAGCCAGAACACCGGAGCGGCAGTGTATGAAAATATCATGAGAAAACTGTTCCACCCCAGCAAAATGGTCACGTATTGAATGCGGAGGAAAAATTCTGCACAAATTCACTGGAGAAATCTCTCTCCGTCTTGCAGAGCGAGGAAAGTTTAGTGCTCAGCGCGGAATAGAGGCAACTTTCGCCATCGAATGTGAGCCAGGCGAAAAAAGAGAGCGTAAAATTATTCATGATTATCGCATAAAACTCCCCCATTCGTCTCCCTTCCATCCTCTTGCTTGCTGCTTTTCCGCCCCATTCTTTCCACCTTTCAATTATCCTGATGAAGATTGAGGCGGCGCTCGTGGAGTTGCAGAAAATACAAAATTGCGACTCTAACATTTATTAAAAGTAATTCAATGCAATAAAATGCTCAGCGAGGAGGTGAAATTCTCCACAAAGTACCGTGAAATTCTGTGCAATATTAAAAAACCACCCGCTGCGAAATCCCCACCCCGGAAAACACTGGAGTCCAGGCCATCAGTTCTGCAACACTTCCGTCTCCCCGACTAAAAGGCACGAGCTGGAACGGCGGCGGGTGTGAGCGGATCTCCTTCGCCGCCCGTCCAAATGGCGCAGAGTTATTGAAAGGCGCGCTGTGGGTGGAAATGGGACAAAAAGGAAGTGATCAAGAAGTGTTTTCCGAGCCATTGATTTTATATTCGGAATTCATTGAAACTTGTAGTTGATGTCTTGCGACAGAGTGAACGCCATAAGGACGACTCTGCTCACCTCTTTTGGTGCACGATATTGCATTTTCCGAATTATTATCCCTGGGAATGAGTAAAGCGAGCAGAATCTCTGCCGAAATTTGATTAGATTCGGCTCCTAGTTGAGCTCTATTTATGCATGCGGACGTATTTTAAAATTCAAATGAACACTGTTCTTAATGAATTTTTAACGGGCACTTGTTAAAATCCCCGACATTGTCCTTCCCCTGCTAAATTCTTCCTATTAATTATTCTTCTTTCAACATCCCCTAAAAGTCTCACTGTGGCTCTGTATTCAATTATAACGCTCATTTCATCCTTTTCCACTCGCCAACCGTCCACGATCTATGAGGAAAAAATCCAGGGAAATTTGAGTGACCCAGTGGAGAAGGAAGAAGGAATAAAAGGACCAGAATTCGCCAATGGAGAGTTAATGCGACTGAAATGTGTACACCGCTCAAAGACAGATCCAAGATTTGAATTGAGAATAAATACAGCAAAACATTTTTAATTAATTTGTAAGCAAAACGAGTTCAAAATTTGGCAAATTTACCTCAAAATCTGTAAAACATCTTACAATCGATCATTTGAGTGTTAATATTGCTCTGTAATAATTGTTTTCTGAATTCTTTCAGTTGCTTCTGTTGGTATTTATTGGATTTTTAGGCTGAAATATGACAAAGTTAATAGAAAAACCGAAAATGTTAGTTTCCAAAGTAGATTTTAAGAGTCTTTTATTACATTTTATCCAAACTAAGATAATTTGAAGTAAATTTTGAAAATCTAACGGCCGTTTTAATCGAGTGCCTTGAATTTTTAAGACAATTTCTTACTATTGCTTGAAATTTTTTAACAAGTAATAAAACAGATAAATATCTTTTCTTAAATACATAAGACGAAAACTGTGATAAATCGATTAGCATTGAGTGCAAATTGAATTTTTCACTCCAAAAGACTTCAACTGGACAGTACACCATTTCTGCGCACAGCTGCTTCGCCTTGGCATTCGGAATATTTTATTGCATGTCCAGGAGTCGGAGGGACGACGTGAAGTGATGTGGAGACAGACGGCAAAGTGTTCATTGAGGTGGAATTGGGCATCCCTCTTCGGGTCGTCCTCACTCTCTCTCTCATCCTCTCGTCAAAAGCCAGGCACTCGATGATGGAATGGATGCAGTCGGAAATCTGGGTCACACAGATCGAAATTCTGGCGATGCAATCCGACGCCCCGAGAGAGACACTCGCATAGGCCGGAGGCTGGGCACAAGGTGGCCCCCAATCGATAATAATGCGCAACCGATCGGAGTGTGTCCGTCCATCAACACTGCCGAACAATCGATGCCCAGCCGACCGTGCCGCACCCCAAAGCGCCCCCCGCGCGCGGGGTGGGCGGATTATAAGATTAAAGAGTTTTTAATTTGCCCACCCGTCCAAATATCGCCAGCGTGCATCCGGGCGTGACGAAATAGGTGACGAGGCGTGGGCTTGGCTGCGTCTCACGCCACTTGCATGCCCATTTTAATACAAAATCAATAGGACGAATGTGGAAATTGCAATTTCACCATTTAAATACTTAATGATTGTGTTCAATGCTCTGAATTTATATTCCTTCAAACAGAATTGCTAAATCAAAGCAAATTTATATAAAATTGCCTCTCATCACGTTCAGAAACAGGGGAGAATTGAGCCAGTTTTAATGCAATTACACTCAGAGAAAGTCTTAATAGAATTTTTGCGCCAAAGAACTCAAGATTACCGCTGAATTATTACTGCGCAAATTGATAAATTCCGTGACAAAATTAAAGACAGAACTCTGGGAAGTTTTCGCTATTGTGAGAAAATCACGTCTTTGAGTGTATTAGGGGGAAAAATTTACAGTGCCTTTAGGCATTTACTCAACAATTTATTATAATTGAATTCACCTTTGAGCAACTACTCAGTCAAATATTTGTCTTAACAGCATCGCCCTGTTGAACTTCCTCACGAGAACTCTCTATAATGTATTTGGCGAAGCAAGTGAAACGTAAGAGGAAAGTTTCACATATTAACATCGGAGGGAAAAATGCCTTCCGTTGAATGAAAAATTTGGATCTTGTGTGTGTGTGTTTTCACATATCTGTGCAATATAAACTCTTCAAATCGGAAACCATGACTTGAAGCTAATCGCTCGTGAAGAGCTCCACAAAATGCTCTTGCGATAGTGAATTGTGGAGCTTTCTTTGTGTTATTTTAAGGAAGATGTTGCCAAATAAATCTTTCTTCTACGGCCAATCCTGGGTATGGTTGAGAAAAAGGGGTGAAAAAGCTCCTCTTCTTCCACCTCAATTATCGCACGCACTGAGTGAAAGGGGATTGATTTTAGCCGGACAGCACGATGTGTGTTCACAGCATTGAGTTATTTATGCCAAATAGAGTCTCTCGCAGAAAAGAAGGGACGCAGTGAAAGCTGCAATTTATATTGCAAACATGCCTTTCAGCTATAAGCTCTTCGCAGTGTGTGAAACTGTGGACGTGACATCGATTTCCATCGTGTGTGAGCCATAGAGCAAAATTCTCCCATGAATTTTCGAAGGGGGTGAAAGAGAAATGCAATTTAATGCTCAGATGAAGTTAGAGAATCGAATTCCACGCCCAGCAATATTGCGACAGAGCAAAATAAACCCTAAAATCACTTGGAATTTTCTTGTGTTTTTCCTTCATTTTATACAACACTCATCACAACACTTCTCTCACTTAAAATCTATCTTGTCGCGTGCAGCAATTGAGGGCGATTCTGTGCACTAATTGAGTCTTTTTTCAGATTCGATGACGAAGCATCTTGAGATTATATGCCACCTTCCAACGCCAGGCCGATGTGCAGGCGTATCCAGTCGATGTAGTGCGAAACCTCCGTGAAAACTCCCGGATAGGGCGCGATTGTGCAGGGTTTCACGCTCCAGGACACAATTCCCACCTGAACGCCGTTCACGAGCAGCGGGCCGCCAGAGTCACCCTGAAAGCAGAGCAGGACGTTGAAAATAGAGCCGATTTCTGCTGGCAGGACTTGTTAACCCTCACAGAAGAATATTCCAGCGACTTTCAATTGAAAAGCTTAGCGAAAGCTCAAGTGGCTCAAGTCTTTTTGAGCTGAATTTGAGCGTTTTGGAAGCAAATAAATGTCTTCTGATTATGCAAAGTTTCTTAAATAGACAAAATGTCACATAATTTCTATAAATGTCAACGGGAAAATGCCACATTTTCTGTCGCGTTCAAGATGTCAATGGGAAAAGGTATGAAAATATCTTCCGTGTGCTATTTTAGGATTTGATACACTTGAATAGTCGCCCTGAAATGAGCAGTGCGAGGGTTGATGATGGCAAATACGACGCACAGAGTCGGCTAGTTTGCCAAAGGACTATAAATCAATTTGAACACTCACAGTACACTGCCCTTTGCCGCCCTCTTTCACGCCAGCACAGATGTTTGTGGTGTGGATCTTGTCAAAGTGGAGCTTTCTGCACTCATCATCGGTCATCGTCTCCAGGTCTACCTTCTGCAGGTGCGTCTGAATGACCCCGCCGACGGTCTGGGGGCGAAAGAGGGGCTTCAATAGCCGAACCGTGGGCTGAAATTTCACACCCACTCACCGCATTCATGCCCCATCCCACCAGCTGACCCTCGAGGCCGCCCTGCGTGAACTCGAAGGCCTGCGGCAGGCGCACGGCGTTCACGAACACGTCAAACTCCAGCGACTGCTCCAGCTCGATGAGCGCGATGTCGTGGATGAACTGGTTGTTGTCGTCGTATCCCTCGTGGCAGATGATCCGGCGGATCTTCATCACCGAGTCGCCATCCTTGGAGATCACGTTCGTGCCGTACTGCACGTTGTAGTCGTCGGGATTGCGGGTCAGGAAGCAGTGCGCGGCGGTCAGAACCCATCTCGAGGCAATGATCGTGGCGCCGCAAGTGTGCGTTCCCGAGCGTGTTCTCAAGGATACCTGAAAGAGTGAGAGAAAAAGGAGAGAAGGTGAAGTCTTCCATCTGAATTGGAAATGCATAAAACTTGAGGAAGAAGCTTGCGTGTCTGATTTGAATAAAGAGGAAGCTGAACTTCCAGTGAAGCATAATATTATTTGTGACATCTTAACTGGGTGCAAATCAAGACACTCCCTCTATTCATAGCTGGGAAACTTCCTCGAAAGCAACACGGAAACGTCAGACAGTGCGATACACTCCATATCTTTCGACGATATGCCTTTATCTGTGAGTCGCAACAAGAGTCGGGAAGAGGCAATTAGTTCAATTAGCGCGAGAACGATGATAGCCGCATTGGCGACTCTGGAAACTTTCACATTTTGCCAACGGAAAACTTTTAATTTGCCCCACAAATGAAGTATGAATTATTTCTCAGCGACAAAGAAATCACTGCAAGAAACTTTCCCACGTCCTCAGGGGCGGTTCGTCTGGGGCGAAAGTTGAGGAATTGGGAATGAAGTGCGACTCACCATGTAAGGGAATTCCGCAGTGAGCGCATCTGATCCATTCACCACGAAGAAGTCAATGGCTGGCGGCGCTCCGAGTCCGAGGCCAGTGAAGATGACAACGAGAAGTAGAGGACGCATTGAGGACAGCTTTCGGCACCACTAAGCACACACTAGAGGCTGCCACGAGCGCCGCGGCTCCTCTTATAGGCGCCCCGAGAGCCTAGGAAGGAACTGATAAGGCGCTATCAATGTGGCCACCGAATTCAATTAGAGCCGAAGGCACAGCTCAATGAATGCGTTCACGCAAGACTCGGAAACAGAGATGCCAATCTTGCCGGAAAAACATGCCTTTGCAGATCCAATCCAGATTGACCTCAGTGTTTTCACGCTGTTCAACAACCTCTCTTTCGCCAGCACGTTAAAAAGTGAATTTCCTCGCTTTTTGGGAACACTTTCAGAGATTTCCACCGTGCGCATGGCGTTATCTGCACCGAAAACAGTGAAAATAGAGCCAAGAATCCTTTTGGATAAAGTTGATGTCCTGCTTTGCGCATTGGAACCGACAGAATAAGAGGCCTTTTCAACCCTCTTCTTTCTTGCAGTGTGTCTGCGGAAAATTCGCCACTCTTTTCCCCGGTTTGAGCATTCGGTAAGACAATGAAGCGATATATCGTCGGAAATAAGAGGTGTTTAAAGGTGTTGTATAATAAGAGAGACGAAGGAAATCTCTTATTAATTTTCACACCAAACCAACAGAATGAAACAGACTTGAAACAGTTTTGAAAACAGCAAAAGAACAATTTAAATTCTTCAGTTATTTAGTGAAACATTGAAATCTCTCTATTTTAGCAATATTTTCTCATGAAATCATAGTAATATTTTGAGAATCAAATAAAATATCTCTTTCTTCTCCCTTTGTCTTTATTTCTCCACTGTTTTCTATTTAATTTGCAAGCAATTTGGTGTTAAACAGAATGATTACAGAGCTTTATGCGAGTCTCAAGGGTTTAATAACTAATCAGTCAAAGGGTTAATCAGTTATCTGATTTTTAACAGTGCTGGTTTTCGAAAATATCCTTTCAGTGAACCCTTTCCTCGGGGTTTAGTACAATAATTCTAGACACTCGACTGTTTCGTCGCCCTTTCAAATCCTCGAACGCTCAACATCTCCAAACAACATGGTTAGTTTATTCGCACGATTCGCACAGAGTTTTCAGAGCATGAATTTCTGATATAGTTTACTAATCAACCTTTCCGGAAGCCTTTGCGAGTTGCGGTGAAATTGAATTTAATTGATGTGAGAACACACAAAGCCAGAACTTTCAGTTGCCATATTTTGCGCGAAAGTTTGAGCAATTTTGCAGAAAAGCCATGGGAACAGGTGAATCCACATTGAAATACCGACGCAACTTTGGCTATTATGTTGTCTGCCCGGCGAATCCTTGCCAACTCCTCCAAATACCCGAGAGGCGAGTCGCAATCAATAGCTCTACCACTATTCCTCGCACAGCCACAATATTATATCATAATAATTCTAAGTTTAAGCATGAGAAATGCGCCATCATCGACAGGCTGCATGACAAACTTTGTCTCTTTGGGTTCGGAGAACTAAAGAGTGACGTGAAATGCGTTTTCAGCCATTCAGGTGCTTTGCGAGTATGAAAAATAGATTCTGGCTTTGGCAGCACTCAAGTTCATCGACATTGGACGACAGCCAAAGTTGCTCTTGAACAGAGACAAACAGAATTCGCTGTTTTCGGCGGCTCTTCGATTAACAATTTTGGCCTAATCAAATATAAATATGAGGCAAAGGTTGGACTGTGAAGTCATCAATTCACGTCAGGAGATCCTTGTGGATAATTGAGAATTATTGCTTCGGGTGATGTTGCAATATTGCCCGTGCACTCGAAAAGCCAGAAAATTGTCCATTTCGCGCGAATTCATGCCTGGCGCGCCAATTAATATCGTTCAGCATGAGAAAAACTACACCTATTTTCACGGTTGGAGGAAGCCCGAAATACATCTGGGCCGCTGCTCTACCTCTTAATTGAGTTGCCTCGGCATATCGATTTTCCATTATTCATCAACGACTTGCAATTGTGCCGGACGACGGGCGTGGGTGGAGTTTCGGCCAGAGATGATGACCATTAAGTGAGCAAAAGCGCTGGGCGAATAATTATATTTTATGTCTCCAATGTCAATTTATGGCGGAAAGATTTAGTTTCGCCTCAGTCAGCAGGTGTTCAGTGTCCAATAAATATTTGCAGAAGCACTCAAATTTATATGCCTCGCGGTGTATTCCTTTTATAGTCCCGCACACGCCGATCCTACGGGGTGTATCCCCTTTTCATGACTCGCCACCCATTTTTCCATATTTCCGATGTCGGCAGTAAAGGCAGCCCCGCGGGGATGGAAATTGCAATTTGCCGCCAAGGATGAGTCCTGAGCCGCGCGGCGCGCGCTCAAGATGGGAAAAGCGTATGCCTGTGTGTCATTTGAATTTAGAGCAGCCAAATTAGAATCGCAAATTTGCATTCCACGCACAGGCGAGTGGAGAAAAATCGCAGGCTCCACACGAGGAGCCCCAGAGTCACAGGATGTGTGCTCGCAATGATTTTTTCATTCGATGCCAAAACGAATGAAACAGGTGTCGAGCCTTTTTTGCCACCTCTCTCTCTCTCTCTTGTTCACTTCCGCCGAGGGTGATAAAACTTAATGGACAGATGCTGTTTGTGCACCACACATCCTGTGCACTGGAGACAAGAGCGGATCTCCGCCCTGGAGGCGCTGGGATAGGATCATTAATTAAAAACCCAGGTATTTTGCCGCCAATTTCCCATTGATTGCCACGCTGAGCCAATGCAAACGGAGAAACACTGGAAAGATATACACCGAATCTGTCCGCTTTATTGGAATTGGATAAGGAAGATAGGGGCAAAATAAACCGAATTCGCTCAAATTAGAGCAATGGAGAGGTAAATATACCTGTTATATCTAAATCGTCAGCGTGATTTCCTTTTCCTACTATTCCTCACATTTTCGTTTTACTGAATTTACTGATTTAATTAAATTTTCACTGGTGAAATTACTGCAATTTGACAATATTCTAAACTAAACATATGGAATTGAATACAAATGTTCTGAATAATACACCGAAAATGTGAATAATTCTTCATCTCAGCTTTTTATTGTCTCTTTATAAATCCACTGTAACTAAGCTGATGTCATTTCAATTACAAACTGAATTCATCATTTGCAAATCTTCCTCTAACTCGCTCATTCTTTGTACAGTTTCTTCAGCAGAAGCAGATGTGAAACATTTATTTATACACAATTTAGTGATTCCGCATTGAATTTTTTAACCTGGGCGATCTAATCTTACTCGAGATTATATTCTCCTTAACGATTTGTATTGAATTTTTATTCACTACAGTCATCTAAAGGGAATGATCATTTGTATATTTTCTGCCTTTTTCCTCTTTCTCCTGTTCAATTTCCTGGAAATGACTCTGGCGAACATCTGGGCTGGAAATCTGGGTGACACGGGCAAAGGTGAATCCGATGGGGGGGCAGGAAAAAAACAAAAACACACCGATGTCACACATGGAAATCTCGTGCGCAGAGCCAAAGGGGCGAATAGCGTAATCCGGAGGAGTGAGGACAACGACTCACGTGCTGGAAGATTAAATCCCAATGTAATGGTCCATTAGGAAATTCTGGAACACATTCATCTGGCGAGAGATGCTGTCCGGCACACACACACTCAATGAGGCCTCGAGGGGGGTGGGAAAAAAGTGGGAAAACTGGGTGGTTTTAGAATCATTGATGGGTTGTCGGTATAAGGAGAAAAACTCATGATCCGTTTCAGCTGTTCCATTTGCATTAAATCTCACATTGAGGCCGGAGCGCCTCGTTATTCCCAGTGTTGGCGGGAATTGAGAGTCCCAGGAGCGCCACGAAACTTCAGCTTTATGATTATGGATTTCATTAAAATATCATTTTATGACGGTGGAATAAAATATTTAGGGCCTTTCCCAGCGCATCATCCCTAAAAGTGTGGGCGTGTCACTTTCGGCCCTGTTTCGCCACTAATTTTATCATCTCTTGACAAATTTTTTCCTCCCCTTCTTGGGCTGGTTTAGCTTTGACAGTGTGTTAATCCACACCAGGCGTCTCCACTGCAAACCACCCGGCGCCTCCATTTATAGTTTAACATAAATCTTCACGCCAATTTAAATAGAAAATTATTTTGGATAACATGTGTTTTGTGTGTTTGAATTTAATTATTGAAATTTATTGCATTCCTCAGAATCCTATATATCACTTGCTGGGAATCTCCTATGACTCGACATTTCAGGCCTCATCGCTCACATCGTCCAATGGCAATTTATTATACAAATGTCTCCGGAATGCTATGCAAACGCCCGCGTGCGCGCGGGGGCAAAAAGTGTGACTCCTCATTGTGATATTATACACCATAAAACAATTGGAATTGATTGCAAAACAATATAAAATTTACTACGTCCTCACGACATCATCTCGCGAGGAATTTGTGCTCCTTGTCAGACCCTTTTATGAGCCCCATTCGAATTTTAAACATCCCCCAAAAGAGGCAAAGAAGGGAAAAAATATCCTCGCGCAGCAACAGAACACATAAAATCACACCCACTCACACCCCCCAAATGTGCCTTTTTGGGTGCAATTTCGCCATTTCAGCGTGACGACGGAGGAGGAAATTAAAGTGGAGCTGATGGAAGATTGATTTTGAAATTTCCCACGGGATATAATCATGACATAGTTGTAATTTTCACGCCAGAAACTGAAGCACCCAGATTGATTGGGAGATGAAAGTCTTGCTTCGGAGAAAGTCATTATTGATGCTCCTTCAAAAGATGCAATTTATTTATAAAAGACTTTGCTTCATTCTCTCTTTTTGTGATTGAATTTGAAGCTATACAATGTACAAATTATCCACTTTAATTTGCTCATAATGACTATTTATCGCCTGTCTTCAAAGGCGTCGCACTAAGAGAAGTCATAGAAAATGCTGCGAAGGAAGCAACATTCGTTGTGTAAGTCACTTCTTCATAGCTCATTGCTTACAAAGTGCTGGAAGTTGCCTCAAAAAGTTTAATACC